ATCATACAGTGAGATGATGTCCATGTGGAAAAAAAGCAGGGAATAAATGGATGTTATCAGATTACATAAGAACATTTTGCTTTTTCCCTCCCCTTTTCCAATTTTCCAGTATGATGTGTCAGTTCAGTGTAGTTGAAAGTAAAAGCGCAACGTTCCCAACAGAGAAACCACGCCACCTGCTGGATGACAGTGTGCTAGAGTCCCACAGTCCTGTCAGAAACAACACATTAAACTCTGTTTTCACCAATGGTATTTCCATAGGTAAGTATTCAATGGTTTGGATACAAAAGTCTCACTGATTCTCTGCCTGCTTTGAAGCTCAGAGAGGCTCCTAGAAATGCAGAATCAGGAGAAAATAAATTGATTTCAGGACTAACAATAATTGGTCATTTGGATAGAAACATTTTAAAAGTAGTGAAGATCTGCTTTTTGCTTGCCTAGAAACCTCACATGACTCACCTCTCTCTTGTTTGTCTCTGTCTTCCTATCAAGAAGTAACTTGCTAGATTGTGGCAGCTGTGTCATAGGGAGTACTCAGTTCTTTTTCAGTATTGTTCTTTTTCTGTGAGTTGTGGCAGCACTTCTGTAAAATAGAGAAATGCTACTGAAGCCAGGAGAGCACAAGCTACTTGTAGGAATGGTCTCGGTAGGAAGTGGAAAGGTGTTTCACAAAGCTTAGCATAAAGCTTAACTTTGGCTGCAGATAAAATACATTATCAGCTGTTAGAAAGAAACAGCTATTTTGAGGGGTGTTTAATGGCCAGCACCTTTCAGTGTGGATTTTAGTGGAGTAAAAACTCTTCTGATTTAGACACTGAGGGAAACTCGTCTGATTTAGAGGCTGGTTCCCAGGGCATGAATTTCCGTTTGCAAGAACTTACTTCGTTGGATGCATGATGCACTGTGCTTATCACTTAATAACCTGAATGTGAAAAAGTGCCATTGTCATCTATTGCCTGATCAGCCATCACAGTTCATTGTCATGTTGTGAAGTTCCTTTGCAGTGGAAACCAACCTGGGATTTGGGAATCTTCTGTTGCTGTGGTGGCTGCTGCTTTACTGAGCACCTGAACAAAAGAAAATCCAAACAATCCAAGTTTGGAAAAGCAAATGAATTGGTTACACTGGTAACTTTAAGTTGCCTTTGAGTAAATGTAATGGGAAATTACTGGTTTAAAAAGCTCTGATTGAGTAATAAGAGGATGAGGAGAAGTAAGGCATCAGGCTGATTTGTCATGGCACCGTCACCTGCTTCCTGTTACTTGTCCTGTGTCTTGATTAAAGGGAAATCAGTCATATATTTGGTGTCTGTGCTTTCTCTTTGGCTGGTATGATTATGTTTAATCACTGATGTTAATCAGAAGGTACTATACAACATGCAGCTGTGTGAAGATAATAAAAACTGAAGGACAATTTTTAAATATTTTATACCTAGAAAACTGCAGTGCTACATTGGTCAGGGTAACATTTCCCCCAGGAGCAATTTCTTACCTACATCACTTTCACTCTGGCCTCTTAAGTCTGGCTTCTGTGGTGTATTCTGGAAGTTTCCTAAGGCAAGTGGACTTTTTCTTGTTAACAGATCCCTATGTCCTTTTGTTTTGTAGGAAGCAGTGAAAGCTCAGAATTTAGTGAGGAGCCTTCTTCAGGACTTGAAAGGTGAGTGTCCTCTTTGCCAATAAATAACCTTCAATCAGTGGTATAAGATGTTAGTTGCACTGCAGTTTATATGTATTGAAACCATGTTTCAGTTTACTTCAAGGAATTAATCAGGTCCTGCAGGATAATTGTGGGGAGAAATATTGCCATAAATGCAGCCATTCTGAGGTTGTGTGGAAGCTCTATCACTCCAAATATTCACTGTGTGTATGCCCTATATTTTGTGCTTCCTACACTACATTTAGCTCTTATTATCCCATCAAGCTATAAAATAAACATTTTTCAAACCTACCTTAATAAGAAAACATGACATCTAACTTGTCAACCAGAGTCCACATACAGTGGTGCCCCGCAAGACGAATGCCTCGCAAGACGGAAAAACCGCTAGACGAAAGGGTTTTCCGTTTTGGAGTTGCTTCGCAGGACGAATTCCCCTATGGGCTTGCTTCGCAAGACGAAAATGTCTTGCGAGTCTTGAGATTTTTTTTTCGCTCCCCCCCCCCCCTTTATCTAATCTGCTAAGCCTTTAATAGCCTTTAATAGCCTTTTAGCAGCTAATCCCCTAAGCCTTTAAGCCTTTAATAGCCGTTAAACCGCTAATAGCGCTAATCCGTTAAGCCGCTAATAGGGTTGCTTCGCAAGACGAAAAAACCGCTAGACGAAGACTCTCGCGGAACGGATTAATTTCGTCTTGCGAGGCACCACTGTACCCTATCTGCTTACAACACCTTCTTAGAAAGCCACAAATACAGCCGCATTTTCATTAAGCAAATCATGTTCAACTATGTTGAATAGCTAATTCCTCATAAGAAATTAAGCCAAATACATCTGCCTTTGTCTAGCACATGATATCAGAGGTGAAATCTCGTCCAGTTCAGACTTGATAGGCCTTAGTTCAAATGGACTGAGTGGCCTTGAGAAGTCCCACAATTTTATTTACTAAGCTACAAAATTTTCCAACAAAAGAGCTTTGAGATAAATAAGAGCAAAATTGTTGAGTCCTTTCCACACTGGAAAAAGGTGTAGTAAAATGTTGTGTTAGAAATTATTCAGGAAAACATCTCTCTCATAATGATCCTTCTTTTGCTGATTTGATCCTTCCAAACAACATTTGGAAGGTCACCAGTAAAGTGTACAGATTCTGGTACCTCATCTTGCCAGTCACCCTTAGGAATGGGCCTCCCTCCCGCCTGCACACAGTGGCAGGAGCACACCTCCATCAATACTTTCACTGACACCTGCTGGGGAAAATGTGTTTTTATGCTTTTTCTGGGGTGATGCTTATTTCTTATGCCTACAATCACCAGACACTATATTAAAAGAGGATGCAAGAAATATTTCATGGAGCACAATGATCGTAGTTTCTCACTCTCAGAATAGTGCAAGGAGGGTATGGCCACCATCTTGTTTCATATTTACTGGGTGCACAGTACTTCTGTTTATTATACTGTACATGATATCACATCCTATTTCAAGAAATAAAATTCAGGTTTTCTTTTTCTTGCTGAATGTGTCCTTATTTAAAGTGCAGTAAATTGGCTAAGGTAGGGAGAGTTGCACTTAGATAAAGCAAATATTATATTTTTGAGTTTAGAGCCTTTTGTGTGAGTAACGAAGTCAGGATAGAAAATGTCATTTATAATCTTAAGAGGGTTGGTCTTCCATTGAAACTGTTTGCCTGAGTTCTGTGTGTTGATAGTTGTAAACTAGGAATAGAACAAATTGATACAAGGGACACAGTGTCCAAGAACACATTACAAAATTAAGTTATGCAGCTTGAACACAGCCAGATTCATTATTCCAACTGATGAACTAAAAAGTAATAATACATTGTTATTTTTTATTTTTTAGGAAATCTCAAATTTTGGCCATGCCATTATTCAGAAATTTAGCAAAAAAGGGCAGGAGAACTGAAATGTTCACCTCTGAGAAATGCCTTCATTGTAGCTGAAATACATCGCTTGTGCTAGGGATATTCTCCCCTCAAACAGAATCTCCCACACTGTAAGGAGTCAGGTACAGCTTGCTGATTGACTCCTTCTGCTGAAGGGCTTAGCAACACAGAAGCTAGATTTTGTTTGAACTCGACAGTCTGATGAACATTTAAGCATGCTACCCGCTCCCCCACAAAAAATCTCTCCCCAACTGATATATCCTAGTTAGAGCCTATTACAGGTAACACAGGGAAGTTTTTTGTGGTGTGCCTTCGGGCTTGTCCCTCCCCTCCAATGCCTTTTTCCCACGACCAGGGCTGGAAAGGAGCTCATAGATTGCTTCAATTTGATGCTTGGAGCTGGAGGCATATGTTTTGGTATCAAAACCGGGGAGCAAAGGACATTCCAGCCTCAGGTCTAGGCAGGTGTACGGGTTTCGAGCAGAGCTACTAGAGCTCCTTGTCTGGTTCCTTTTCCTTTAGCCTAGCTACCTTGCAGTGAAATGGTGGGAGATGCAGCTGTTCCCCCTACCCCCCAGCCAGCATCAGGTAACATGCAGTCAAGGAGAGCCCCCTGAAGGTGCGAGTTATTTTAGATGCCCAGAGGGTGGATTCTTCAGACTGGAGTAATCAGAACTGTTTCTTCAGGCTCTGTCCTGCCTTTCTCTGATTTAAGAGGGGATAAGGCACATACCCAATTTCTGTTACAAAGATGCTATCCAGCAAGGCATTTAAAAGGCAGTGTCATGTTTCAACCTTGCCCAGACCACAAATCCTAGGTGCCCTCAGGCAATGAACAAGGGTAGTAAATGCCTTAAGAACTAATTGGATTGCACCGCATCCTCCCATATCTTGCTTTATTGCGGTCTACACACCCAAAATACACAGTACAACAATAGTAAATATCAACACTTATTAAGGTGTAAAATTGGCCTTGCTAGCCAACATAGGAGTTTTAGCCTATACATAATGGTTTCTGATTTTTACTGCCTCCGAGAGGAATTTTGCTACAGCCAGTGTAGTAGTATCAAACTTATCCTCAAGGAGAACCTTGACATGAAATGAGTCGGCAATTCCCGGTTGTTCTGTTAGTTTTAGATTGATTAGATGCTTTCTAACCCGTTTATATAGACTACAATGCAATAAAATGTGTTCCATACATTCAACACCCTGGGAACATGGGCACAGCCTGTCTTAGTATGGGAAACCAGCCAATCTTCCCCTCAGCACTTCAAAACAGAAAATGTTTAATCTGGCTTTGGAAAACAGATGCCGATAGTTAGATACAGTCAAATTCTTAAGGTAGGGAGATGACAAAAGAACCCTGAAGGTATTGGATTCCTGACACAGATGGACCACAGGGCACATGTGAGCAACATGCAAATTAGTGAACCATTCCATATTTTTTGTGCTTGCTTGGGCAGCACATAAACTAAAATTGGAGCAATACAGAGAAAATTAGCATAGTCCCTGCTCTTCATACTCAGAGTAGACCCATTGAAATTAACATGCATGACTAACTTAGGTTCATTACTTCCAGTGAGTCTACTCTAAGTAGAACTGAGTTTACTATAAGCTTTTGATTGTCTTTGCTGAAAGAGACAAAAAAGGCTACCACTATGGAAATTTTCACAAAGAAGTTGAGGACTTCTCCCTGGGACTGAGAGTCCAATTACAGAATGTTGTGGAGTGGTCTTGTCTACATTCCATCCTCCCTTCCTTTCAAGAAGAAAGCACTTGCCAGATTTGATTGTTTCCCATTCTAGGCAGGGTGAGGAAGTCACTGGACAGGTGGTTGTTAGGGAATAGGCTGTTAGAGAATAGGGGTGAGTTTGGCCACATAACCTGGCTGAAGATCACTACACACACAGTTCTGTCAGATTGGGGAGCACACATGGGGCTCAGGGCAACTGGAGTAGTCTGAAAGCCAACACAGCATCAACTTCCTGGAGCTTCATACTGTCTCTTTTGGCCTTCTAGAAAAACCTATGGGTCACCATGTGTTTATTCAATTAGTTCAGCAAACACATATAACAGTGGGATGCAAGGGGGGGGGGTGTTACTCAGCCACACACTCTCCATAAGGAGACCTTCACTGTAATTGTTTGGGCCATATATAACCTGGTATGGAATGACTGAGCAGGACCATCATCCAGGAGTCCAAACACTCAAATATTCAAAATGGTGACACAGCCCTTTGGGAGACCCACAGACAGACAGGTCAGAAGCTTTCTATCACAATGCCAGTATGTGGAATCAGAATACATAGACTGGCCAGCTGTGTGCCTTTTCCTTCTCTCACCCTGATTCCTATGCTCCTCAGAAAGATGAAAGAAAAGTAGTATTTATACCAATTGAACTCCACTGGTCAAAAAGGCCTTGGTTCTCAAAGCTAGTCAAAATGTCCATGAAACAACATTGGAACATCATGTCCCAGAGACCATTTTTTCAACAGCAACTGCATATATTCTAGCTGGCAGCATAGATGTTAAGCAAAAGTGGCTAAATTGTTTTTGCTACTGTGATAACTCTTTTGGCATCTAAGCATTTGTTCAAAGTTACAAGTCTTCCTGGAGAGATTTATAGCCTGCTGTAATCATAAATCCAGTCCATTCTATAATTTTTACAGGACAGACTAGAAATATCTCAGCACCAGCACTTTGAAAAGACAGTTAGCAGTTCTCAACAGTATCTCTGGTATAAAGGATAACCTTTGCAGCCATCCACACATAAAACACTTTCTTAAAGGGGTAGTGCTGATGAATCCGTCTGCAGACAACCTGTCCCTGAACTAGAACCTCAGCTAGGTTCTGTCAGCTCTGCTGAAGCCACCTATCAGAAATTATGAACATGGTTCTCTCAGAACTTTATTTTTAGCCAATACCTCACCACATTGGTTTTAGAGCTGAGGGTGCTATTATAAAAATAAATAAATCCTACATTTGGGCTTATTTTATCTTGGCAAACTGTGTTGAGAGAAACCCATCCTTTCTGCCCAAAGTCAGCTTACTGTTCCATATGTTCCATATTCTGCCTTCCTGTCTGAACTTTGCACAAGAAAACCTGAAAACAGGTTGGATGTGTTTAGGACCCTGGGCATGTTTTTGAGCAAGACCTTGGTTTTTAGAAAGTCTGAAGGTCTTCATTGAATTGGCATCTCCCTCCCTGGGAAAGCACCCTTCCTCAGGTGATTACAGTTCGTTCTCTAAGGGGGCAGTTATCATGGCTGCTGCCTGGGGTAGATTTTCTCTGGAAGAAATTTACAGGGCAATCACATAGGCTGTCCAATATTGTAAAATCAATTCTTTTTCCTTAGCAGTTGTGGCATTTGGGTGGATAATTCTTCAGAGGGTTCTGAGGTCTTTAAATTATTTTCTTTTATTGGAGTCCCACCTTAAGGGATTGTGCTGTTACATGCTTAAAGGATGAAGAATGCCCCCTGACTCTACCAGAAAAAACAATGATTCACATTTTTGGCATCATGTGTATGCATATTAGCAGAATAACTGGAATGCCTTGTGCAATGATACCATTAGAGCTTGTTGTGCCACACTAACTTAGGTGTACAACTGTTTGAAGACTATGGAAGCCAGTTAGTTGCTCATGATAGCATACTTTTCACATTCAAACATTAAAGGATCTTGTTTAGTTCCTGAAAAGTCACATGCCCCATTCGCCTAATCAAACATGCACAATTTCATGGGTTCAGCTAAGCAGCCAAAAATTTTGCCATCACAGCTGAGTTGGAGGAATGACTGGATGGGGAGGCTTGGGGCTAACCTTCAGGGCCCTTAGACTAAGTCGGTCTTCCCAAATAGATTGCTTCATCTTTTCTTCAAACGTATTTTTTTTTGCTGGGCCAAAGCATTGCATCAAATAACACTTTTATCCATGACCCCAGTAGTAATGTTTTCAAAGAGATGTCAGGGCTTCAGCCTCCTTGTGAGCAACCGCACCTGATCCCTGAAACCTTGATTTTTTTGGAGCTAGCTAATGTTATTCATTAATGCTGAAAATGTATCCTTCTTTGTGTGGTTAGAAATATACTCTTCATTATTACTTCATATGCTCTGCAATCAGTTCCTGGCTGGTTCTGATCATCTAGAGCTGTTCTTATGATAGTGCCTTGATGTTTTTATTTCTAAAGATTCTTCTGCTTTGCATTGTGATATGATTGGACAAATCCTACTTTCCTAAAACTTCTCTTATTCCCATTCAGAAGATCAATAAACATTACAAAAGTCAGTGAGATGGAAGCAGCATCACAAAGATCGGTTCTGAATTCCTTTTTAGATACTTGATTCTTGCCCCCATATTCTTTTGCTCACTATTACTTGCTTTGTTCCTATGTGTTAAAATGAGCATTATTTAATGGGCATTCAGCCCTTCACTAAATACACCTCTCCAATTATTGAGAGCATCAAATACATGTGTGTCCCATGTTTCCTTGTATGCTTTGTTTTGTTGGATGTTACCACAGTACCTGCACTATAAGAAAAGAACTTACATGTAAATTTATAAACAGGGGTCGGTTGTACGCCACGCTGGGGCCCAACTGGCGGGTACCAATTCGGAATTCTCCCAGAAGTCGGAGCTGTGTCTACAGGTACAATTAGGTGGTTGGTTGGTGTGTCTCTCCCTAGACTGTGGTGTTAATTCTTTTTCGGTCTGTTTTCCTCTTGCTAATTAGGAGAGCTTATTTTCAACAGCTTTTTGATTGTTTCCTTCCATCTGTGCAAAGACTTTCCTTCCATTCTCATAAGAGTTGCCAGGAGTAAGAAGATTGTTCATTCATATGCTTTCACCTTCATAAGCCTCACCATATTTATATACCACACTGCATATAAATATACTTCATATAAGTGCTGACTGTTCCTCTTCCTTATCATACTGAGAAATGCAGGGTAATTAACAGCACCACCACAAAGTTAAACACTTTTAAAGCCTCATTGATTTCAATGGAAGCATATTAAGCATATGTTTAACTTGGGACCCAGTGAATATTCTAGGAGCATTTTGATGCTGCAGAACAGCTGAAGCAAAGCCATAATAAATTGCTAAGAACCTTGGTTGGGAACTCACGGAGAGCCCCACCTAAGAGTGTGTGTGAATATATGTATATTAAAGCCCTGCTTTTTATCTGTCCCATTGAAATGAACAGAACTTAGCTTTCAGAGGATCATACCATAATTTAAAGGGAGGTTCTCATTTTTAAAAGCAGTTTCTGGTTTAAATAATACACATACACGCGGTGAAGCTCTATTTTCTTATGCTTAACTTTCATTATCTTATTATGTAATGAATTACACTGGGTTTCAAGTTGATGCTTCCTTTTCCAGTCTCATCACAACTCAGTTTGCTGTTCTGATGACTTCCTAAAAAACCATGCATTTCCTTCAATAAACAGAGGGTGTCTAAAATCCAAGCGCCTCAGTACCCTCTTACACAAAAGAATAGCAGAACAACTTAACTCTTTTAGAGTAATTAAACAACTTGATACCTGTGGTTCCACCTGTAAAGGTAAAGAGTAAAGGGACCCCTGACCATTAGGTCCAGTCGTGGCCGACTCTGGGGTTGAGGCGCTCATCTCGCTTTACTGGCTGAGGGAGCCGGCGTTTGTCCGCAGACAGCTTCTTGGTCATATGGCCAGCATGACTAAGCCGCTTCTGGCGAACCAGAGCAGCGCACGGAAACGCCGTTTACCTTCCCACCGGAGCGGTACCTATTTATCTACTTGCACTTGACGTGCTTTTGAACTGCTAGGTGGACAGGAGCTGGGACCGAGCGACGGGAGCTCACCCCGTTGTGGAGATTCGAACCACTGACCTTCTGATCGGCAAGTCCTAGGCTCTGTGGTTTGGACCACAACGCCACCCGCGTCCCCTAGTTCCACCTGTAGAACTCCTCAAATCAAACTGATATCTGTGGGAAGCAAAGAAATGTGACTTGGAAAGAAATAGTACACTGACGCAAATTATCTTGCAGTCATTCTAACAAGTTTGTTTAACGTTACCCAGAAGAAAATATTAGTTTTTTATAGTGCATCTTCTCATGGCTTCTTCTATTCTTCCTTATAGTGTCTTCTATTCCTCTTCATAATTACTGATTTTTTTCGCTAGGCTTGCTTTCTGGTGCAGCCTTTGGGGGGAAATCTAGCAAAGGTGATGTGAGCAGATATGCAAGCCTTCTAAATAATCTCTCTCAAGCATTTTCCATTTCAATCCTTATTTTGTCTGCTTTTATTTCATCATATATTTGTAACTTTCTGATAAATATCTCCCAAAAAATCCTATTTGTATACACCCGGCATTTGCTACGATACTCAGTGAATATCTATGGTAAGATAGATTTCTAAGAGATATTGCAGGTATGCTGATTTACACATAAAAGTGTGGTGTTTCTCTCTCTTGACACTCAGAATTATACTCCAAACATCTTATGAAGTGGGCTCTGGCCCATAAGAGTTTCTGCCATAATCAGTTTACAAGACTCTTTGTTAATTTG